ATTTGGATATATTACTGTTTGTTTGAGTAGAATTTAATAATGTTAAATGAGTTTTGCTACTACTATCTTGATTCTTTTGTAAATTAAGAAATGAATTAGATTGTCCTTGAGTTAAAACAAGCCGTCTTGTCGCTTCTTCATCAGAAGAAGAATCTTGTAGTTCAGTAGATTCGAGAGACTTATTACCTCCGATTGTCCAAGTGGATGTTTTATGAATAGATCGCGACCATCCTCGTTCCTATAATTTTAAGAAATGCATATTATATGTAGTATTATAATAATATAATAATATATAATAATATTTCGATGAATTTTTTTGTCTCATTTTTCATTTGTCACATACCTTTTTCTCTGGTAAAATGTATTTTGGCATTCCTTTGATAAACCAAGCTCCACTTTTTTTCCACATTTCTCTCGTCTCGGCACAGATTCGACAAAGATATTGTTTCTGACTACTGCTCGATCTTTTAACGATTCGTTGCATAGTTATTTTTTCTTGCATTCTTTCTCTCGTTGTTGAAAGATTCGAAAATGTTGAGTTCAATTCGATACCACATTTTTGACATATGTATCTTCGACAATCTTTACAAAGATTTGCCGATGCACCTAATACTGCACCAAATTTTTCACCACAAAGGGCACAAGAACATACACAGTGTGTACTATTGAAACATCTGCTACTACATCTTTTCTTTTCATTTAATCTTGTTGTAGTTACAATACAGACATTGCGTTTCATATTCTCTAATTTTTCTACTAATCGACCAATTCTTTCTTGTTCTGATAAATTTAAAGCTTCTGCTCTCTGAATTACCTACATTACCGAAAAATAAAAATAATAAATTTACGAATATTCCATAAAAATTGAATAAAATTAAAAATCAATATATGTAAGCACGTTATTGAATTAATATTTTAAAAAAGAAAAATTATTGAAAAATTAAAAAAAATGATATGGTTTAATATTTTTAATATTTTAAATTTATTTTTAATTTCTCATTGATAAGTTAAAATAAAAAAAAAGTTATATTTATAAAATTTACCTGTATAATTGTTTGTTGTTCTTCTTCACTAAGTACAAATGATTGTGCACATCTATTTGTGCCACTTGTATAAGAATTAGAAAATGTACCCCATTTTGAATCTAGAGAGGCAGTTTTTACAGACCAACCTGTTTGCAATCTATTACATTTATTTTATTAATTCATAAAAATTTAAATGAAATGGAAAAATAATTCATATTATATAATACAATCATATTATCTATTTAATCATCATAAATATTATCATAAACATTAATGTAATGTAATTAGACATGTATATTGAAAATATATTGATGCTTACTTTGCTCTCAATGATAGATGTCTATCATTTGGACAGACCCATCTGGTTCCTCCACTTATATCCTTTACTGTCATATCCATTTTTCAATTTAATACAATTTTGAATTTAATTTAAATATATTATAAACATTTTGTAATATACATCAGTCTGTAGAGAATAAAAATATGCAATCAATCACAATTTGACATTAGAATCGTAAAAATATATAATATATAAAAAAAGTTAATTAAATAATTTTAATTGTAATTTTTGCAAAATTTTTATATTTTTTTTGTAATTTATACATTAAAACGAACCGATATATCACATATTGTATTTCGTATATATAATTTTTACTCTATATAATTTTATAATATACCATGACTTATTTTCATAATAATTTTCAAAATAATTAAATTTTCTATAATGATAGTATCAAAAAATTTAAATTTTATAAAAAAAAAATCAATAAACTTTGTGATATATATGAATCACTTTGATTGTATCTATATATATACATATATTTCTTGTATTGAATTAATATTTCTATCCGTTTAGATAAATTTTGAAATTTTTCTTTCAAATTAAAAATTGTACGTTTCATATTGTATTTAATAACTCTTTACTTTATTTATACGTTATATGTTGGAATTCCTGACATTTGTGTAATTTGCATTCTAAAATATATATGAATCTTTCATATTATTGAACAGGACAAATTCTTGCGATTTATTCAAAAATTTGAAGAATTAGTAAAATAAAATCAAAAGTTTTATTATCAAAATATTACTCATTTCAAAAGAATTAAATTAATTTTCATAGAATAAATATTATATTCTATATGTGTAATTTATTAAATATCTAATTATTTAATTATATCAAATATTGAAAAATGTTAATAACGTGTAATGGAGAAACTACTTAGATAAAAGTAAAGTTTAAAAGAACAGTTTCCGCTCAAAATAGATGCGCAACAAGTATTTGCTATACTTCCGTTCCTATATTATTTAAGTAGCTAAAGGGAAACTATATTTGGACTAAATCGATATTTCAATGTGGTTCATATCTATAACGATTCTTACTTTCTTAACATATCGCAACAATACCTTAAAGTTACAAAAGATTTTAATTTCATAAGATATTCTAAAGAAAAAGTACAAAATGAATATAGCGAATAAATAATTTATGAAATTGCTATAGAAAATAAAGTTAGTTTAAAAATATAATTCGAAAAATTGTAATATCTAGTTATGACTTTATAAAATGTAATATTTCTTTATTTTTGAATTATTTTAATTCTAAAATGTAATTATTTGTTATTTTAAATAAATTAAAAACAAAACATATGTACTTACACAAAAGCAAAAATGAATAATAAAAGAGAAAGTTATAAATGGATTAATAAAAATTGGTCTATTAACTATAGTATGTTATCTATAATAGCAATGCATTCGTTAAAAGAAAAGAAAAATACAAAAAGTGGAACAGAGAGGGAGAAATTCGTGACGCGTGGCAATCGTATCGTAACTGAACAAAAAAAAAAATGAGCGCGGAAGTCCTACGTTAACAGGCGATCAATCGAAGCTCATGACGCATGCCATTATTACTCACAGGATTACGGTAATAGAATTCTTTTACATGAAGAAAATATACATGAATATGTTCATCATTAATGCAATAAATTACATATAGTTTTAATTAATATTATTATTTAATATGCTTGACATTTTGATTTGAATTTTAATTTCTGTTTAAATTTAAATACATTATATAAAATACATATCAAATTTTAGAGAAGAAAAAATTAAAATAAAGATTCAATTTTTCCTTTTTTTTTTTTTACGATTTAATAACGATTAAGATCCGCATAATTTTGAAAATATTCATGTAAAGATAAAAACAAACGCAAATAAACATGATGCTTAATATTTTGAATTAATATGACTCGTTTGTGTACTAATTTAAACGCTTAACTATGTATAAGTGAAATTTAATTTTGACATGGAAACTATTTTAAACTATGTGAATATTTATACTTACGTAAATATACTTTTAACGTATAATATATAATTTATAAGTAAATAATTGCTTCGAATTAACATAATCATAAATGATTAAATGATTTATAAAGAATTATGAAACGCATAATATAATTTTAATAATTGTCTAGATATTATTGGTTGAATAAATGAGCACAGAATTGAACTTGCCACGGTACTAGCTATCCGACAAGTGGGTACTATTATAGCTGATACTGGCTTTACAATTCCGCTTCACTTTCGATACAGGCGCAGAAGGGTGCGTACAATTCACAGGGATGTATCTAACTAAAAAATTCACCTATGATACAATATCTCTATTGAATTAACTAAAAAAACAAAAACTAAAGCAACAGATATTTGTTTTTTTGTTTATTTCGCGTAAAAATAAATTTTAATTTCATTCATTTTATATTGTTCGTGAAAGAAATTTTATATTTATATTTATTATATTTTTATATTTATATGGGTGTTCTGAAAGTTTTAAATTAAATAAAAAAATACAAATTAAAGAAAAAAACATTTAATAAATTTATATTGTATAAAAAAGTAGAAATTTTATTCAATTACTTTATATATAGCGCACATATATATATATATATATATATATATATATATATATATATAATATATA